ACCATGATACTCAAGTTTAAACCCATAAGATGATTTTGATATCGCTGTTAGTTACTGATAATCTGAAATCATATATCACTATAGGATTAAAGGATCTTATATATCATAATCCTTGCTATTAGAATAAAAAAAATTGTAAATTATTTATTATAGAAAATATAATTTAAATAATAAGAGTTATCGTATAATTGATCACTTAGTAAAAGTAATATGTAATTTAAACTTTTAGAAATCTATAAAAATATCAATGTGTTAAATCTAAACATTATGATAAAATTTAAATTGGTTGAGTATAATTGTTGTTGGTAAAATCAATACTCAAATAAATACTTTATATTAATAATTGTAAAATGTTAAGAATTATTTAACATCTAATATTAAAATATTTAAATTAAATTTATTATATTTATTTAATAATTAATAATTCAATTTACTTTATAAATATGCTAAGTTATTTTTTTTTTTTATAATAAGAATTATATTTGAGTTTATAATTATAATATTATTAATTATTAAAAAATAAATTTAATATGATTATTTTTATTTATTTTTTTTAATAATATTAAATATTTAAAATTAATAAAATTTATTAAATAAAATAATTTTAAATAATATATTGTAAAAAGAAAATTATAATTTATCACTAGTGCCAGCCTTAATTTATATATTAGGGTTAGGTTTAGGGTCAGGTAATTGTCACGTAGTGTCACGCCCATCGGTACTAAGTATTCCAGAGACAGTTTTTTTTTTGATCGACAAAATCCTATTTGTCACCTTTATATATCACACAGGCGATAAAGATTATTATAAATCGCACTTAAATTAAAATTACTATAAAATTTAAATTTTTATTGCATTTCAAGTTTTTGATTAAGATTTTAAGAATCTGATTTTTTTTAGGAATCTTTCCCATTCGCTATTGATTGTAAATAATAAAAATATCTTTTTTAAATTTCCTAAAATCATGTTACGTTACTATGTTAGTAACTTGATTTTAATAGCAAACAAAAAGATGGTCAAATCGAAATTTTATCATTCTTAAAATCTTGTCATACATTTGAAAGTTGTAACGACACACCAATATCTATCAGAATTGTCCGACAAATCAAATGTATGGCGTTTATTGTAAATAGTCCATTTATATATGGAATCTAATCAAAATTTTAGCCATTAGATGTATAATCTTTTCTCTTACTCTGAAAAAAAATGGAAGCTTTATTCTTTAACATAAATGATGGTTACTTGGAAGGTATTGTGAGAGGATATAAGAGTGCTATACTCACTTCAAATCACTACATTAACTTGACGCAATGCGAAACTCTTGACGGTCAGTAATGGAACTTGAATTTGAGTTATAACATTGTCTGGATGATCTTTTAAATATAATTAACACCATTGACCAAATAATAGATCTAAAGCTTCAATTAAGTGCTACGGATTATGGTAACTTTTTAGCTAATGAGCCTTCTCCTATTGCTACTTCAACTATACATGAAAAAGCGACACAGAAATTAGTCGATGAATTTAAGTACGTTCGTGCCAACGCCGTGGAGCCATTGGCCAGATTTCTCGATTATTTAACGTAAGCTTTTTTAATACAACTCCTGAATTCTTTTTTCTATTTATTTTATTTTATAATTTAATTAATTTTATTTTTTTATTTTATTTTATTTTAGTTATGCCTATATGATTGATAATGTAATACTTCTTATAACAGGTACTTTGCATGAACGTGATACTCATGAATTGCTTGAGCGATGTCATCCACTTGGAGTGTTTGATTCTATGCCTGCATTATGTGTTGCAACTAATGTAGCAGAATTGTATGATACTGTGTTAGTGGAAACTCCTCTTGGTAATATAATTATTATTTAATTGTATCATTATTTAGATATTTTTTTTAATTTACTTACAGAAATCACATTATTAGCTCCATATTTCAAAAATTGTCTTTCGGCAAATGATCTGGATGAATTAAACATTGAAATTATTCGTAATACGCTTTATAAGGCGTACCTTGAAGATTTTTATAGGTATTGCAAAAGTATTGGTGGCGCAACGGGACAAATGATGAGTGAAATTTTAGAGGTAATTTCAACACTATTAACTCTTTAATAAGATTTTTTTGCTTACCATTCCATTCGAATAGAGTCATATTAAAATAGATGATAATATTTACATATTTTTCATATTATTTCAGTTTGAAGCTGACCGTCGAACCATTAATATTACGATAAACTCTTTTGGCACAGAATTATCAAGGGATGATCGTGCAAAATTGTTTCCTAGTCTAGGAAGATTGTATCCTGACGGACATGCCAAACTTGCAAGGGCGGATGAAGTTGAACATGTTAAGAATGTCGTTGAGGTTTGGGTGGTATGTTATAAAATATATGAAGCATACTGGTTATATTCTATATTAATTAAAAATTATAAAAATTATCATTATCCTACGTGAATGATTTATTTATTTTATGAAATATTTAGGAATACCGTCCCTTTTTTGATAATAGTCTGACATCCTTTGGTGGTGCTGCTACAAGCGAAGCAAAGACACTTGATGACAGATTCTTTGAGCATGAAGTTCATTTGAACAAGCTTACATTCCAACAACATTTTCATTATGCAATATTTTATGCATTTTTGAAACTTAAAGAACAAGAAATTAGGAACATTGTATGGATTGCTGAATGTATTGGCCAAGGACAAAAAGAAAGGGTTAGTAATTATATACCCATATTTTAATGGAGATACATTTTTACGTTTTTAGTTGTCTTATTAGTTTCAGTGTGTAATGTAGTTTTAATAGAATGATATATCATTAATAGTGTTATTCAATTTTTTTTTTGTGTTTTTTTTTTTTTTGTATTTTTAGTAGTAGTATTCTATATTTTGATATTTTTCATTTGATTAAATAAAAGAAATCTCTAATTACGCAGTTATGATTGAATAAATAATTAACTTACATACCGATATATATATATATATATTATAAAAAAAAAAACTGTTTAAGACGTCGCTCCCCGAAGGGATAAACATTGCCTTAACACTAAATGTGTTGATGAGGGGATAGACCACGAACTCCGTCCTTATCGAGGGGATTGCCAACTATCTCTCCTTTCTTATCAACACAACCTAATACCTGTCACTAAATTTATATAACCCTATAAATTGAACTTTAAAAAAATTATGGGATTAAAATCTTGCTATAAATTTAAAAATAATTATAAGAATTTTTATTCAATACAAATGTCTAAATTTTATTCACGTCTCCCTCGTTATATACAAAGTTCTCAAGTGGCAAAAAATGAAGTAATTTTTGATTCCTTTGTACGTGAGACATTATAAAAAAAAATATAATAAATGGAAACAAATATTATTAGAAACAACCGCCAGTTTCCGAGACCACGAGAAAATTTGTCCCAAATTTCGTTATGGAATCAATAGAGACTACCACTAAGGATCCTGCAAAGATTTATGCGGCCAAAGTAAAAGACAAGGTGTTGCTTCTTGATAATCCGTTGAAAAGCTCTAATGAGAAGAAGAAGAGAATGTTGCTGAAAAAGAAATTCAAAGCGATGAGTGCGAAAGAAAAGAAACAAACGAAGATTTATGAAATTCCAAAAGAATGTCACAAGTAAGCTCTTATAATTTTAAGAAAGTTAACATTTGTTCTTATAACTATTTTTATACGTCTTTTTTAGATATGCAATTTTTATTCCTTTACATGAGCTTTGGCTTCAATATATTGAAGAGCTATATGGGAAATCAAATCCTAATAGTTTTGCTCAAAAATTATTGAGAGCTGATTTTCACGGAGCGATTCTTACAGGTCATTAAAAAAAAATGATAATAAATAAAATGATTAAAATCATGATATAATATAACATTAACAATATTTTTCATTGTTTTTAGTCTCTAAATCAAAATGCGCATCTTATGTTGGAGTTACAGGAATTGCTATCCAAGAAACAGAGAATATGTTCAAGATAATTGCAAAAAATGATAACATGAAATGTATTCCGAAAGGGCATAGTATTTTCACATTTCAACTTCGTGATCATATTTATATTTTGTACGGTGACCAATTTCGATACAGGTCAGCAACGAGAGTTACAAAAAAATTCAAGAATAAACCGTCGATAGACTTATGAATAAATTTTATTTTAATTTTGTGTTATTTGGATGCCTTATCCATTTCCAATACAGGGGTCAATACATTATTTTTATTAGTCTCCACTATTCTACCATTCATAATCATTTCTTCTAAAATTACATGCACCTTTTCAATATTAAACATAATATCTAGTTCACACTATAATTAAATTAAGATGGATGATAAATTTTCAAAATTATAAATTAATCAATAAATATTAATAAAATTGATATCATACCACATTATCGAAATATGTATTTAATATTTCTTTTATGTAAATGATAAATATAATTATACATAAATAAAATACATATATACAGAGTCATATTATAAATGGTATTCTGTTTTAACTTACCCACATATGCTTGAACGAGCTCAAGGATGGCAAGATGGTTCTCTTCTTCTTCAAAACCGATCACAAAAAATAATGAAGCATATCGTCTAAATGCTACAAAATATTATTGAATGATATATCTATCAATTGGTTTGAATAATATTTTTTTTTATTACTAACCTATTTTGTACTTTCTAAATTCAAATATAGAACACTTGAAAAGATTCAGATATTTGGTTAACCATTAGAAAACAAAATTCACAATTATTTTTTTTTAATTCCGCACCTGAGAATCACCCCTTTTTAAACATTTTCGTAAAATATCTGCTTCCATAAGAACTCTTTCTTCTGGTTGTAATTGCGTATTATAATATCTTGAAAAACGAGTTTGTCCTTGTTTATTGACTAAAAGAAAAAATTTCAACATGTTCCAAGATTAACTAACTATCAAATCAAAATATGACAAAGTGGCTTAGTATAGTTCTGCATATCATCCGCTCGTGACAATTAAAATCAGAATTTTTAAATTGTTATTTTATTATTTATTGATAACAAATGGTTTATAGTAATTATTGTTAAGGATATTTTATCTCATGTCTATCATTGAGGTTATCCTGTTGCCAGGATTAGATGCCGTTTTAAAAGGATTCCTTCTTGGTATAAAGGTTTCTTTAACATATAATTAGCGATGAATGCATCTTTTCCGAAAGATAGCATAGATATCAAATTAATTTACCTTTTTGTTGGAAAACATTATTTTCATTCCCATTGATTATCCCAACTGGATAATCTTGTCTAAGCACATATGGATCCATGTTCCACGTACGATTATTAAGGATGCCATTTTCACCATATAATCCAGGTTGCTTAATTTACAATAATAATAATATTTTAATTTTTATAAATAAATAAATAAATAGTAAAATCATAACTTACATTAGGAACTCCACCTTGTCTTGAACCACCAACCGGATTGTTAGCTCCAGCGTTAGGAACTGAATTTCCAGCACGATTTTGAACAGGTTGTTGCATCGCCGGAACCAATGTTCTACGTCTTAATTTATCGTACATTCCCTATAAGAAAAATAACGATTAACAAAAAGATTTCTAATTAAGAAGTACCGCAATTATACAACAGACCTGCAATTTCGAAAATTGCCTGCCTTTTTCTTGTAATTGTTCAGCTAGTTCATGTGTTTTTCGTTTTTCGAGTTCCATATCTTTCTGTAATGCTAATAATAAATTAATAAGCAATAATATTTAGCTTAAGAAAATGAAAAAAAAATTTAACCGCGAATATACTCGTTAGCTTTTATATACCTTGAAGTTTGACTTTCAAAGCTTATAATTGAAATAAACATTCCATTTAATATGTATACGTAAATAACAAATAATATCATATATTTACATGTTATTTCAGATTGAGCATCTCTCAAAATTCCTTGGACTTGTTTTTCTAATTGAGAGTACTTTTCTTCCAAATTCTTGTATAACATTTCTTGAAAACAAGCCTCCTGTGTCGTCTGATATGTCCAAAATGATAATGCTCGTGAGCAAATTTCTATAATAAGATCTGGCCGAAGACCTGAAAGAACAGACTTTAGGAATATTACTTAAAAGCTATCTTTGAACTATAAACATTATCTTGTAATATAAACATATCATATGGTACAGATTTGTAATCTTCGCTTGGATTCAATTCAGTGAACACAATATCATCACTAGTTATTAAAGATAAATAAGTTGAAAACCATAAAGTTTTATAACAACCATCAAAATAACATCATCCATG